CTATGGGTATGTGTAGTGACTTTCTAAATTCTCTTTTATGCAGTAGCTTTTGAGGGAAAAAAATTGGAAAAAGAATGGGTGGCAGGGGACAGGCTCTGGCTCTTTAAATCCCTGGAAGCTGCTTCAGGCAGTGGGGTCTGCAATAACAGTGAGTGGACCACTGCTGTGATCAGGAAAAGCAATCAAAATGCAGATCCTCGATATTTGGAGTAAAACATAGAGCCTTAATATGTATTGCCTACTCCGGCTCCCACAAGCCACGGTGCAGGGCCATTTGCACACTCAGCTGCTGTGAGGGTAGGAGGACAGGGGATAGGCAGCCACTGCTGCCTCAGTGCGGAAGTCAGCTGTGATTTCTCTTCCACGTCTTCTTCTGGATGCCGCAAACATGTAGCTAGACTCCAGTTCCAAAACAGGTGCCTCTGACAGACTCTGCCAGGACAGTTACTGTGGTTCTTCCTCTTCTGTTACTGTGATGTCCCTCTCAGCTAGCAGAAGTCCTGAAGCTAAACAAAGGGATGTGGATTCTGCCCAACGCTACAGAATTGTTTCCAATGTAGAGTTTACTAACGAATGACTGACTCATGAGTTGAGCAAAGAGCGACACAGAGGAAGACTGCAGATAGAGTGAGTCCCAACTCCAGAGCTGGAGCTGGACTCTGCTAGGTACCACCAAGGCAAGAGAAGGGATTGTGTCCATCCTGTGACAGCCAGTGCAGAGACGGGAACTCTCAAATATATGAAGGAACTTTCTTGCATGTTTCAACCCAACTTACTGCAGCCAGAGTGAGCTCTATAATTCAAAGAGGGCAAAAGAACACTCAGCTGATGTGGGTAAACTCAAAGAACTGTGAGAAATGGTAACATGGTTAATCTTCTAAGCCACTTGGTTTGTTGTGCAGAAGCTGGGGATCAGAACTGTTTCATATGCTATGCTTTCCTCTCTGGCTTTCTTAATGACAGAAACACCTTCCCTACCATCCATGGGGTCACCAAGTCACTGTGACTACTTCCCTACCGGCCATATCTAATCAGTTCCCCAGGCCCACTGATTCCACCTCTACAGACTCTCCCAGTCCCTCCCCACCCCGACACCAGTGTGGGACTGATAATGGCCAAAGCTTCCTGGCAGGAACTCTGCAGACCATGTGCCCGCATCACGGTCAGCCTAACCCATCGCTCCCAGAATGAGCTCTCCACACACAAAGCTGGCTCATTTCTTTGTTCATAAAATATTTATTAAGTTCCAGCTGTGCGATAGGTACTATTTTGAACACTGGGGATACAGAAATGAACAAGGACAAAAACACCTGCCCTCACTGACATGAAAGGCAAGGGGAGGAAGACAGACATCTCAGGCAACAGAAGAGCCAGTGCAAAGGCCCTGATGCCCAAGGGTCAGACAGTTCATTGCAACCAGTGTGGCACGACTGAGACAGAGTGGTGCAGCTGAGGTCTAACTGTGTATGTGGGAGACCACACCTAGCTCGGTAGGATACTAGTTTTGACATTGGGCAGTATGAAAAGTCACTGGAGGGTTTTGAGCAAATGCATAACATGATTTTCTTTACATTTTAAAGTATTACCCTGGTCGCTATACTGATAAATATACCTTAGGATGACATGGGAAGAAGCAAGAGACCATTCAAAGTCTATGACCACTCAGGAGGGAAGGTGGCCTGGACCATGATGGAAGCAGCAGGAGCTGAGACTGTGAGAGTCCAGATTTGCTTATCAGGGATGGTGGTAACAGCAGGGAGGGACTGACAATGACTTCAAGGTTCTGAGCCTGACCGATCTGAAGGAAGGAGTATCTGTGCTGTCTTTTAGAGCTAAACTTGAAACAGTTCTCTATAGTAATAGAGAAGTATTACTACCTACTGCTTTCATGTTTCACCCTAGCATTAGAGATCAGAGTGTATTGGTGGACACATTAGGTTTGGGATACCCTTGAGATAGTCAAGTGGAAACGTGACACAGAGAGCAGAGGACTGCAATGTGAAGTTGAAGGCAGGGGTCTTGGCTAAACCTTAGAGAGCGGGCATTTAAAGTCACAAGTAGACAGGGCTGCCCAGGAGAGAGAGCGACTGGAGAAGACACAAAGTCTCGGAACTGAACTGGAGCCTTCCATAGTGCAGGTTTGAGAGAAGAGGAGCCCCCAAAGTAGACACAGGAAGAGTAGCCTAGGAGAGAGGAGAAAACTAGGGAAATCTGGAAGCCAAGAGCAACTGGGAGGAAGATACTTTAAGAAAAAGGAAGTTAAAAAAAAAAAGTTAGCAAGGATGTAAAATATTGCTGAGAAATGACTATGACATTCAGCCACTGGGAGAACAATAGTGACCTTGACAAAGGGCCAGCGCTGTGACATAGTAGGCTAAGACTCCACCTGTGGCGCTGGCATCCCATATGGGCACTGGTTTGTGTCCCAGCTGCTTCTCTTCCCATCCAGCTCTCTGTTTATGGCCTGGGAAAGCAGTAGAAGATGGCCCAAGTGCTTAGGCCCTGCACCCACCCACATATAGGACACCCAGAAGAAGACCCTGCTCTTGGGCTTCAGATCGGCCCAGCTCAGGCCACTGCAGACATTTGGGGAGTAAACAAGCAGACAGAAGACCTTTCTCTCTGTCTCTCCCTCTCTCTGTAACTCTACCTCTCAAATAAATAAATAAAATCTTTAAAAAAAATTTTTTTTGGTGAGTAGAATTGAATTTGGCCTTTATTGGACAGAAGGGCAGAAATGAAGACAGCAAACGCAGGTAATTCTTTAAAGGAGTTAGCTCTAAACTGTAATAAAGACCCAGGGCGAGAAGGTGAGGGAAAATCGGGAAGCTGAGGGAGCAAAGAATGCAGACAAAGGCAAGGAGATGGGAAGCAAGGAGGATGCACAGGTGGAATGATTGAAAAGCCAATCAAATGGACAAAGGGAAAGTAAGCGTGGAAAGACCAACAAGACAGGGAAAACTCAGTGGTCCAGCTTGGATGAAGAAGTGGAAGTTACAGCTGTTAACACAGATTGCAAGGTCACAAGATGCAGGAGACAGAGGGAGAGACAAGGGAAATCATGACGCTCAATTCCAGATACTTCTCCCTTTCCTATCTCCTACCAGGGCTGTTTGGATAGGGTTTTAAAAAAACAAAAACAAAAACAAAAACCTATTGGGATCGGCGCTGTGGCACAGCGGGTTAAGGTCCTGGCCTGAAGTGCCTGTATCCCCTATGGGTGCCGGTTCTAATCCCAGCTGCTCCTCTTCTGATCCAGCCCTCTGCTATGGCCTGGAAGAGCAGCAGAGGATGGCCAAGTCCTTGGGCCCCTGCACCCACAAAGAAGCTCCTGGCTTCGTATAGCTCAGCTCCGGCCATTGCGGCCATCTGGGGAGTGAACCAGCAGATGGAAGACCTCTCTCTGTGTCTCTACCTCTCTCTGTGACTCTTTCAAATAAATAAAATATATCTTAAAAAAAAAAAAGCTATTTTTAGACAATCAGGGAAACTAAATATGAAGTGGGTATTAACTGTTATTAATGGAGTCTTAATTTTGATGCTATAACAATGAAATCATAGATACCTTAAAACAAAAAGCCCCTACTGAAGCATCTGCAAGTGGACCAATGTAACTGGGATTTGCTGCAAACTACTAAAGAGTAAGTGAGGGCACTGGAAGCGAAGAACAGGGGTATCCACTCCATAGCACCTGAGACAAGGAATGCAGAAGCAAGGATGGGGGTGTAACGAGTGAGGTCTGAGAATATTCCCTGGGAAAAACGTCCCCCTTTGGGTAGGGGTGGGAGGTGGGCGGGGGGCGTGGTGTGTGTGTATGAAGCAGCTTGGTCACTGATTCTCAGAGGGGCCATTACAGGACACAGGTGTCACCCTTGGGCAAAGCAAACGCATTCATGGTTCGGAATGCGAAAGATAACTGGTACCCACCTGCAGCTGGGTTCTCAGGAGCCCACACGTCCTCCCTGCCCACAGCAAGCAGGAAGAGGCCACGGGAGGTGGGACAAGAATTAAAAATGGTTCCGCAAAGTCACTGGTAATCCGCAAGCTGCAGCAAAGCAGTGCCTCCTTTTCCTTAAAGGCATCAGAATAGACCTGCCTTAGAGGAAAGCCGTGGGCAGCTGCCTGGGAATGGAGCTGGGGTGGAGGCTGAGAACACAGCCTGGCCGCCAGGCCCAGGAGGTGGTCCTCCCCGTGCCCGCATGAATAAGGAGATGCACTGAGAACACAGCAGAGACTGCTCCAGGCACTGCATGAGGTCGACCTTCTTCTCTCCTTACAATAACCCAACGAAGTGGATTTTACAGCCCAGGAAAGTCGGCTTCTCTTCCAAAGTGACACAGCCTGGAGAAGACCGAGCCGGGGACCCCACGCTCTCACACAGGAGGGGCGGTGACAGCAGACCTCTGTGGGCTGCAGGGTTCTCTCCGGGAGATGCATCGTAGCTGGTCACGTGCTGCTAACTGTCCCATCTGATGATGGCTCTACAGAGTCTACTTCTGGCTGTGTGAAACGTATCCACAGTAATAATAAAAAATCTGAAATAGAACTGATAAACTCCAAAGCCTGGTCACACCAGGGACATGGGATTTCGTGACTCTTGTACTCAAACACAGTCCCCTGGAACTTTGAAAAACTTACACAGTTCTTTGTTTTGCTTTTATTCTTTTTCGCTGGAGGAAGCCCCAGCTCAACCACCTCCTCCAAGACCTGGAGCCATGGGCGACGAACACTGCACCAACACTGCACTCCACACCGGTTCAAATCGGGCGTGTTTGGCCAAGTCAGCCTGCTCCGCACCCCACCCCAGCAAAGCGGCACCAGCTCCCAACCAACAAAAACCCCAAGGTCCCAGGGACGGTCCCCACCCCACTACGGACCCTCAAACGCGAGGGCATGAACGACCCTCTCCTAATGCTGCCAAGGCCGAGCCTGTCTGCAGCCATAAGACCTCCAGGACTTACGCCATCAGCACCGAGCCCGGGCTCAGCCCATTGACCAACCTTTCCAGACTTTCCTTTCCGCGCAGAAGAGGGCACGGTTGCAGCAAGGATCCCACGGGAGCCTCATTAACCAGCGCCACCAAACAACAAGGGGTCACTCGAGCCACCAGCTGGGGAACCTCTTCCAGCCGGGCGCCAGGACCACACTACCCACACTCCTCGGACGGCGCTGGGACCACATTTCCCAAGATGCTCAGCGCCACCAACAGCGCCCTGGCCTCGTACGCTCCAGGCACTTGCAGAATGGCAGAGAATGTGGCACCTCGATGACCCATCTTTTTTTCTTAAAATCACGTTCATAAAACACGTAGAGGCTCCAGGATGAAGCTGCTGGCCCGGCCGTGACCCTCTCTGGCAACGCCTCTGCCTCGAGGACTACACTCCCCAGTGACCCCTGCGGTAACTTTAGCATCGGGCCCACCCGTCGGCGCACGGAAATGACGTAGAGGGGCGTGCTCTTCTAATCGGCCGCTGCGATTGGGCACGATGTGCGGTTACCTGACAGAACGTCTTAGACTGGTGGGTCGCTTTTGCTGCGCTCTGTGGTTTACCTGGTTCCAGCCCCAGAATTGGGAACCTGTGCGCCATATTCCATGAGTCCCGGGCAGCCGTGGTCTCGTTCGATACGTGTAGCTTTTAAACTTAAAGCAGTGGAGAAGCCGAGCTGACGCGCTCAGCCACTTGGGCAGGGGCCCTGAGACCTTTATTCCTCTTACTGGAATCCGTGAAGTTGTGGGCAAACTTCCATCTCCTGGAGAACAGGAGCCTCACTCTTGGGCCAGAGCACGAGGCCGAGTCGAGTCGCTGTCGGCCAGACTCCCTTGGTCTTCGTTCCGGATCCTGGTTGAGGAGGGGTGCGCTGGTGCCATCCAGGACTGCCCGATTTGACGCGCTATTGGACTTTTCCATCCGGGCACCCTCGCCTTCCTCAGACAGCCTTGTGAAACTTCAGCCCTCTCTAGGAAGACCAACACAAAGGACCAAGGGGGCCGGGGAGAGAGGAAACTACTTAAATTTGTGCTTAATTCGTGGGGAATGAATGCATTTATCTCTCTTGCCCTGATATTTCATCGTGCATCGTGAGTTCAGTCCTGACCGAGAGGTGCCCAGTCTCACGTGGCTCCATCCCTCGCTGCCCCATCCTTCATTCAATCTTTCATCAACAAATGAGCGGCGAATACAGCGCAGGTTCTGAGAAACAATGCAGGGACGCCCGTGTTGATTGTCCAGTGACGCTTGCTGGCAGGAAAAAGACCAGGGAAGACTTCCAGGATGATGGGCTACCTCAGCTGCCCCAGGGAAGCGGGCAAGATGAGGAGCTGCAGAAAGACATCAGTGGGAAGAGAGCGGCCTCTGAATATCAGGCTCACAGTCAAAAGCAGGACGCAGACATCTGACCTGCTTTCCCAAGGCAACCTTCTCGCTGCCTCACTTGGAGCCATGGACCAGGGTAGCCACAGAGAGCAGGACTGTGTTAACCATAAGAGGCTTTCATGGTGTTCAGGGATGAGGCTGTGCCTTCCAAGTAGGAGCTGTGAAGCCGTGGAGTCCAGCTCAGAAGGAGCCCTAACAGGGAGCTGACGCTGGAGACCTGGCGCAGTCTGGTTTTACTGCACGACGATGGCTTCTCCTACAGCTAAAAGTCTGACTCGCTGAGCAGCTTAAACCCCTCATGCAGAAAAGGCAGGGCACGGAACAGTTCCCAGGTCTGGCTGACTTTTACCTTAGGATTGGACTTGTAAACAAACACATGCTTTTTCACTTTCCCCAAGGAAAGTCTGGGTTTATTAATCTTTTAATCAAATGTATTTCCATCCTCCGAGCGAGGAGCTTACTGAATGTGCTATGTCAGTGAAGTGAGGCTCCCTCTCTTATTCATCCTGCTTTTCACTGCTTGAGTTTTTTTTTTTAATTTATTTGACAGGTGGAGTTACAGACAGTGAGAGAGAGAGAGAGAGACAAAGAGAAAGGTCTTCCTTCCATTGGTTCACACCCCCCCCAAATGGCCGCTACGGCTGGCACTGCGCCAATCCGAAGCCAGGAGCCAGGTGCTTCTTCTTGGTCTCCCATGCAGAGAGCTGGACTGGAAGAGGAGCAACCGGGACTAGAACCCAGTGCCCATATGGGATGCCAGCACCACAGGTGGAGGATTAACCAAGTGAGCCACGGCCCCTACTGCTGGAGTTTGATCTCCGAGGCCCTTTGTGCTCTTGTCTTCTCAACCCAATTTAACTCTGAGTTCCAAAATGACACCTTGAGGCCATAACGTGCAGTCATTCTCTCAGTGTCTTTACCTAGGATCGGAAGTTACACTTTTCCAAGTCAAAACTCCCCCTGCAGTGGAAGCTGTCCATGGGGAGCCACAGGATCTGCTGGATTCCTGTACAGGTGAGGGGAAGCTTCGTGCAGGTGACACAGCAGTCAACAGGTGAGAAGGAAGGAGGCATCACTGAGGTGCTGTTTTCTTACTGTTTAGACTTTCTGGCCCTGTATCTTAGTCTGTTCAGGCTTCTGTAACAAAATCCCATACATTACATGTTTTTTTTTTTTTTAATTAATTTATTTATTATTTGAGAGGTGGGGGGGGGGTCTGCTCTCCACTGGTTTGCTCTCCAGATGGCTGCAATGGCTGGAAGTGTGCCGACCCAAAGCCAGAAGCCAGGAGCTTCCTCCGAGTCTCCCACATGGGTGCAGGGGTCCAAGCACTTGAGCCATCTTCCACTGCTTTCCCAGGCCATAGCAGAGAGCTGGATCGGAAGTGGGACAGCCGGGACTTGAACCGGCACCCATATGGATGCTGGCATTGCAGGCGGTGGCTTTACCTGCTAAGCCACAGCACTGGCCCCTAGATTAGGTGTTTTAAATGACAGAAATGCATTTCCTCACAGTTGTGGAACCTGGAACTCAGGAGTCGGCTGGTATCATGGTCAGGGTCCAGTGAGAGCCCTCCTGCTTGCAGGTGGCTACCTCCTTGCTGTGTCCTCTTGGTGGTGAGGGAGGTATCAAGGTCTCTGGTAGCTCTTATAAAGGTGCTAATTCATCCCATCATGAGAACCTCATACTCATGACCAGTCCAAGGCTAATTAGCTCACCTGAGCCCCATCTCCAATACCTTCACACTGGAGTTGAGGTTTCTACATATGAACTGTGGGTCAACCACAGTTGAGGTCATTGCACCCTTTCTGTCTCCCAGACTTCCTCCGTCTAAGAGAGGGGTTTCTGGCATCACTTGTCACATTCCTCTTCTGAGAAAGCTGCCCTGTCTCACTGGGCTTGCTGTCTCCAGCGTACATAGTCTCTGTTCATGCACATCTTCATGTTTACCCTTTCCCGTGTCACACCTGTGGTCTGGAAGCCCGCTCTGACAGCATGGGCTTGAAACACCTGGTCCCAGTTGGCTCTGATCATGGGCGAGTTACTTGCCCTCTTGAAGTTGATTAAGATCATGGTTTTTCAATGTACTAGTCAATGAGTCTTGAAAAATGCAGATACCCAGAAAGCCCAAAGCCCTCTGTGACATACAACATCTCTCTGGGAGGTGCCTGTGTGCCTCCCAGCCATGCATCATCCCCAACACTAAAAGGGCAGTCAACAGATTGATTCCTGTTCTAGAATTTGAAAACTACCAATCAACAAAAACCTTTAGCACCATCAATTTCAAACTGCTTAAAACCGAAGACAAAGCAAATCCTCAAGAGTAGACATAGAGGCTTTATATACAGAGAACAGCAGTGAAAGTTAAAGCTGACTTCTCCTTGTAAGCCATGGAGGTCAAAACAGAATGAAAGAACATCTTTTAAAGCGCTGAAGGAGGCCAGCGGCACAGCTCACTAGGCTAATCCTCTGCCTGCGGCGCTGGCACCCTGGATTCTAGTCCCGGTTGGGGCGCCGGTTCTGTCCCGGTTGCTCCTCTTCCAGTCCAGCTCTCTGCTGTGGCCCAAGAGTGCAGTGGAGGATGGCCCAGGTCCTTGGGCCCTGCACCCCATGGGAGACCAAGAGGAAGCACCTGGCTCCTGGCTTTGGATCGGCACAGTGTCGGCCGCAACGTGCCAGCTGTGGCGGCCACTTGGGGTGGGGGGGACCAACGGCAAAGGAAGACCTTTCTCTCTGTCTCTATCTCTTTCTGTCTAACTCTACCTGTCCAAAAAAAAAAAAAAAAATCACCAACTCAATATCCAGCAAAAATAATCATTCACGAATGAAGAAAAAATAAAGACATTTCCAGATAAACCAACACTATAGTTCATTGCCATCAAACCTGCGTTATAAAACATGCCAAAAGATATTCTTATGGCAACAGGAAACATTAGTTTCATGCAAGATGAAAACTCAGATATGCAGAAAGGAATGAAAAGTATATAAGATATTTTTTTTCTTTTAACTTCCTTATAATACCACTGAGTCTTTAAAGCGAATGCTGTTGAGGTCAACATTGTGGCGCAGCAGGTTAAGCCACCACTTGCAATGTGGGCATCCTGTATTGAAGTGGTAGTTCATGTGCTGGCTGCTCCACTTCCAGTCCCACCGCCAGCTAATAAGCCTGGGAAGGCAGAGGATAGCCCTAGTGGTTGGGCCCCTACCACCCATGTGGGAGACCAGAATGGAGTTCCTGGCTCCTGGTTTCAGCCTGGCCCAGACCTGGCTGTTGCGGCCATTTGAGGAATGAACCGATGAATGAAAGATTTCTCTCTCGTGCTCTCTCTCTCTCTCTCTCCCTCCCTCTCCCTCTCCCTTTCTGTCACTCTGCATTTCAAATAAATAAATAGTTAATGCTATTAAGATGGAGTTCATAATGAATGTAAAAGCTACAGCTATGACACGTGCCAAGATAGCGTGGTTTCTTGTCTCCTCACAGGTCACATCAGTGCAATTTCACTCTTCCATTTCATTCACTGAATTAGCGCAACTTCCCATCCTTAGTGGGAGGCACTGGCCAGAGAATTCCAGCTCCTTCCCTTTTGAGATTTAACCGGTTGTGTGCCCGTGGACAAGATATTTGTCCTCTTTGCACCTCAGTTTTCCCATATGTAATATGTGGGTTTGAACTAGTCATTTCTAAGATACTTTCCAGGAATGAATATCTATGGTTCACTCATCTTTGGCTTAAAACCCTCAGCCTGGCACTGGTTCTCCATGCAGCTTCAGCCCTTTGAACAGAAGGGGGCGCCCTAAACGCAGCGATCTCTTCACTTTCCGGGCAGCCCTGTTGTCAATCCAGCCAGAAAATAGGGTGGCAGGCCAGCTTCTCAAGACAGTTGTCCAGAGGCCAGCATTTTCTCTTCACCATATGAGTAGCTAAGGCCTTAAAGCAGCCTTTTTTTTTTTTTTTTTTAAGA